GTAATACGAAATTATTTTAAGTCAATTAATTTTTTTTTGGTATTAAACTTTGAAAATCCTACTGAGGACTTTAGGAAGCTCAAGAAATACACTTCTCTCTCTCTCTCTCATGATTTAAGAACTTTGACTACATGGTTGAATTTTTCAATGTGATAATTAGTTTTCAGGAGATAGTAACAGTTAAAGCATATTAATCTATTTTAGTTTGTATTTTAAGTTTGAAAAGTATTTCATTGAAAAAACGTACGCTTGCAGTTATGCTTAAGTGCATCCCCATAATGTTCTTCCAAGCATTCCTCACAGTTCCAACCATGTGTGTTATAAAGACACTTCAGACACTTTCCGGTGAAGCGATCACAGAATCCAGGTTTTCTTTCTACATTATTGTTACAATCGCAAGGCTGGCAAATACTCCCAGAGATTTGTGGATTTCCAAAGAACCCATCTGCACAACTGGTGAAAGAGAAAATTAAAACTTGATAAGATTTATGTTTTTGGACTAAACATTCTGGAATTACAATAATAAAATTGGTACAAGCTGCAGAATGAATACAACAAGTGTACTGTGGTTGAAAAGGCATTTATAAAAGTTGGGCCTACACAGTAGTAGGGTTATATCAATGATAAGATATCTCAATTCACAACTCTTATTTGTGAAATTCATTGTAGATGCTCAGCATATAACTAAACTACCATTTACTGTGTGAAGCCAGTTATGAAAAAGTCCTCATGAAATTAAGAATATAGCATAGAGATTACAATAACAGCCACAATACACTAACATGACACAATGATTTGTTTTAATACATCCAACCTATTCAATAATGTATCAATCCCTGAAAAAATTAAAAATACTATAACACCTTCTGCATCTGTACAATACAACTCCAACATGAATTATATACTACTTACCACATGAAGGCCTAGTTATGAGATCACCCTTTCATAAGTACTCATTAACCTCCAATTGGAACACTTAGAAGATAGTAAACTCGGAACAGCCAAGAGTTGGCTGAGGTATAGAAACAGAAGGAAACAAATTCTAATTCCTAGAAATAATGATTATCAAGAAACAACTCATATACCCAAGAATTTATAGGAAACCCACAGATAAGAGTAAGTATTTCAACAATAAATCAACCCCCCACCCAACAGTGTAAAGACAGGCATCACAGACTGTCTAGTTTCAATAATAAACAAGATTTGTAATATTAAAGCTGCCAAAAAGGAAGAGAAACATCACTACAACCTTGCTGACAATGGATACCTTGAACACTTCATATAGAAGAAAGTAGACTCTAAGAAGAAGCCGGAAAAAATGTAACATTTTATTTACCTGAAAATTTATCCAGGTATATGGTATTATATACTCACCTCTCCACAAAAATATTAATTAGCACTTCTTCACTAGTGCTGAAAAGTTTTTGCACATTTTGCACTGTTGAAAGAGCTCTCAAAATGTGCATAATAATATGAAGTGCACTATTTAATGTTGCTAAATCACATCAGACAACTCTGTGCAGTACTCCTCTTAAGCACTTTGTGTAAACCAAAAGCTCATTCTTGATGAGGCAAAGTGTGAAGGTAGAGTGGGTGTTTCTATGGGAAGAAGAGCATCTATCTGAAATATATTGTTAACTTTAGACTGCAATACTTACCTCTTCACAGAATAACTAGTAATGATCCCACATTGAAAAAATGGTGAAAGGACTAGTGTGAAGAAATAAATAAAAAAGAAACATTAGCTCTTGTCTGCTATATAGTGAAAGAAAGGAAAAACACATATGGATTGTGTCTTCCACTGGCTTACACTCTGGGTACTAAATGATCCTTCTTAGTGTATTATGGTGACACATGAAGTAACCTGTTTCAGGCTTTCATAAAGTATAACAACATTTGAAAACAAAGCTATCCATGCAAATCCTTAAATTTTCACAAATCTCCCATGTTTGAATTATTTTTCAGTCATTTAAGGTAGACAAGGAATGTAGGTAGTTCAATTATTTTCAATTAAGACAAAGTAGAATGTAAATAAACAAACAACTTAGAACCATGCTAGGATTTGGAGCAACTAAAATAATCAAATCCTGGGATTCAGAAAAGTATATACACTGCTCAATCCCACAGCAGAAAGGAAAGAGATGACCTACTGTCAATGGTGTCTCACATTATTTGCACGTTGACTAGTCTTCAGTGAGTAATGGGTTTCTGTTCAATAACAAAATAATTGCCTACATTAGGCCATGCTAAGACAAGTTCATTCCAATGAACCTTGTACAAACTAGATGACTAGTGTTGATTTTTCATTCTGAAAAAACGTGTTAGTTTGCTTCTCCCTCCCCACCCAGCTCTTCTGTAAAGTACAATGTTTATAAAGAAGAGGGTGTGGGCTATCATTAAGTGATAACTGGGCCAGTAAAGAACTAAGCAAGTCAGTGGAAATGAATCCATGGAAGGGATTCCACAGGTAACTACAAAAGTCACCACCAGCTATGGCATGCACATAATTCTGGATGTAGATTCCAAACCTGCTTGAAGCAGTCACTCACTTGATTAGAAGCCATCTTGTAAAAATAGAAATGAAGATTAGAAAGAGGGTTGGATAGGTAGTCTATCAGATGAGGAATGCGTCTTGAAGGACAGATATAATTTGACCAAAACTACTCGAATACCTAAACTGTAAAGTGAAATGCAAATATTCTACGTTCAAAAAAAACAGTCAACAAAGACACAATGGATAATGGGATGCTTTGGACAGATCATATCTTTACAATCTATTACAAGGATAGTTATTTACATCAAGAAACAAATGTACAAGCTGTGGGTAGAAGAAGTGCACAATGCCTTTTATAGAGCCTAAGATTACAATGATGCACAAGATTAAACATTATCATAACCTCTGGCAGAAACTCAGCTTTTAGTGAATTAAGACTTGATACATCCACAATAAAGAACACCCGTGTGCTCCCCAAGGTGTTGAATGAGCATATCCAGAACTTATTTACCGTCTTTGAACACTTAATTTCCAGCTGCCTTTAGGTAACTGCCAATTAATGTATCCCAAGAATTTTGTTTCTGTCACCATAGAGATTACAGCATTTCTCAGATGGATGTAATACTGGTTTGTGAACAGTTTTGTATTAGAACATGAAATATGGTTGCACTAGTTTACTGACATATTCAGTTAAATATATAAAGGGCAGTCTGAGGTGTTTCTCAATGAGCCTCATATTTGACCTCTGACAAATATTATCATCGCAGAGGCAGCTTGGATTTGACAAAGAAAGTTTTTCTGGAATAGCATTAACTTTTATAGAAATGAAGTTATCACTTAGAACATAACCTTGATTAATACCCAGGTTCCTTGTGAAGAAACAGAAGAATAACATAAAACCTACTATCTAAAAAGTTGTTGATAAAAATTTCCAGCCAACCAAAAAGAATGGATATCACCTAAAATAGCATATATTCATGGAGTGTCATAGTATCACATCTTTTCTGCATGAAGAAACTTAGACTAAATACCCTTATTTAAGAATGGCTTCCCAGTTAAACATTTGAAGTCTTATCAGGTGGTCCATGGCAAACCTTTGACTGCAAAAGTTTAATCAGGTGTTAGAAAAGTAGAAATGTGATTTTATAAGCAAAACAAAAGAAGTATTAACCATCTTCTCCACATCTTACAAAGATAGCTTGTTGTGATAATGGGTCTATAATTAGGGGGGTAAGGGCTTGTGAAATCTTCAATGAACTATTGAAGTAGGATATGAATAGCTTAACACCCTAATTATAAAAAAAGTGAGAGAGACAGGAGATAAAAGGCATATACCCTCATAAAGAGCATCATCTGGTCTGAAGGATGAATTGACAGATTGGTATAGTGCTGATTAAAGTTCCATCTGAGTAAATACCCTATTAACTGTCCTCCAGGCTATGAGATTGACAACTAACAGGAATGCTTTCTGCTCAAGTCTTACTGACCAATTAGGATAGCAGTTGAGTGCCATGAAAAACACTTTCCAATGGTGTCAGCAATTAATGGTCAATTAGTTATTATCTTTCCATTAACATACAAGAGAGAAATACCATAAGACAGTTTCCATTCACCTTCCAAAAGAATAGTGAAGGACAGCAAATTGGCTTCTTAAAGTGTCCATTGTGGTGCACAAGTAAAATGGCACTGATTCCTACCCATTTTATTTAAATTAAAGAAGGAAACATGGTACAGAGACAGATAGATCAATAGCAGTAAAAGTCTGGCTCATGGCAAGGAAGTACTTCACAGCACCAGTGTTCAAGAAGGAGAGATTATGATCCAAGAGTCTGCATTTTAAAGATCAATCCCAAATGACAATAGAAGAGAGCAACTAATCTGTGCCATCATAAGATATTTCTAGCCAATACTTTTGCATGGAGAAGTAACACCATTCTTCACTGGGGATTTACATTGACTGATCCTCTCCACTGTAGAATAAGTTGTCATTGATTTGTTGCCACTAATTCAAACTTGAATTCATCTGTACAGAGTCTAGTTTTGTTCACAGCACTGTTTGAAGTAAAGTATCTATATGAACTTTCTGGTTTGGCTACCTCTTCAAAGCAGTGATACATCCAGTGAAACCATTCTGTGTTAATCTGTATCTTACTGTTTTCAAAGTACCATTCATACTTGTATTTACAACAAGGTTGTTGGAAAAGCTTGTACTTGACCATCATTTATTTTATAAAGGACATATCCTGCGATACATTACTTTTGGTTTTCTAATCTATCACTTCTATTAATAACCAATTTCAGGTACTACTCCAGCTATTATCGAAATTTGGAGTCTCCCCGACCAACTGAAACTTTGATTATTATATGTTTTTCATTCAATTCTGAGAGCAAAACTTTCTGCATTTTTATAAGCTTTACATTGCTGTAGCATTTTCTGATTGGTTGGATGGCAACTTATCACACTGTAACTATTGATGCATAACTATACTCTGGTGCAGTTCATTTTCACACAACAAAGGTGTGGCATTCTTATAATATTTGTCTTTTATACCCTTTTAATAAATTATTAAAGGACAACAAAAGACCTTTTGGTCCATCAAGGTTGTCCTATTCACTAAATTAACCTTAAAAAAAACAAAAAAAAACTTCCTCTAAGCCTGCCCTAACCATGCAAGTATTTGTCAAGCTTTTCCTTAAACAACCTTAAATTAACTGCATCTATCACATCTGAAGGCAATCCATTCCAAAGGCCAACACTCCTGTTAGAAAAATAAGGCTGTCTTAGCTGAAGATGACTTCTTCCCTGCCAAGATTTATATTTGTGTCCCCTAGTCCTATCACTCAAATGATATACAAAAAAAAAGATGATGCACCAACAATGCTATCCATTCCCTTAACAATCTTAAACACCTCCATCTGATCCCCTCTAACTTGTATGGCAATCTATTCATTTCAGGTATCATTCGAGTAACCCTTCTCCGAATCCTTTCTAACAATTCAATGTCCTTTTTGAAGAAAGAAGCTCAATATTGAACACAATAATCCAAATATGGCCTAACCAATGACATTATAACCTCTTTAGACTTGTATCCAATATTTATGTAGATACAACCTAAAATCCTACTTGCCCTGCCACTAGCAGCAGTGCACATTGTTTGGATGGCTTAAGAAACTGATCAACTGATCTTGATAACACTGTTAAGGTTATTTACATCAAAAATTATACTCATAATTCAAATTGTGATATCACATGCATTATTTTGCTTCTATTATGGTTAAAAACCACCTGCAATTTATTCCCCCAACTCCTTTTGTAAGGAGTAGCATCCTCCTCACACCCAAGACCTTAATATCATTAGAAAATTTTAGTAATTTATTGACCATTCCTTCATCTATGTCATTAATATAAATAAAAAAAAAGCGTAAAGATCTTAACACTGAGCCTTGAGGTACCCCACTGTTAACATTAATCCAATTTAACTGAAATCCATTTAAAGCAATCCTCTGTTTCCTTCTTTCTAGCCAGTTTTCCATCCAATAAGCCAATCTATCCTTCACACCTATAGAGATAATATTTTTAACAAGTTTTTTTATGTGACACCATGACAAAAAGCTTTCTGAAAATCCAGATACACCAAATCCATGCCTGTACCTTCATCTACGTAAACAGTAACATCTTCAAAGAATGTCAAAAGATTAGTAAGACAAGATTTTCCCCTAGTGATACCATGTTAACTATCCAACAAAATTTGAAACTTTGTTAAGTGACTCTGCAAAACATCTTTTACCAGACTTTTGAATCTTTTGGCAACTGCCCACTATTCAAGGACTTAGAAAAAATAATAGCAACTTGCTCACATATCTAATCCTTAACCTGTTTCAAAACCCTTGGGTAAATGTTATCTGCCTCAGATGCTTTCTCATTCTTGAAATTTAAATTTTCCTTAACAAGCTCAGAATTAATGCAGTCATCTTGTTTGATCTTTTTTTCAATCTAGCAACTAGTCAGGTTGAAAAATAGTATTTAAGCCTTCAGTAAAAACTGAAAAAAAAAGTATAATTTAATAGCCCAGCCATCCTATAATTATCAGATATTAGCCTTCCAATATCATCTCTCACAGACCCAACCCCCAATCCTAACATTTTGCTTACCCTTAATGTATTTGAATAAATCCTTAATATTTAATTTTTATATTTGCAACCAACCTCTTTTTTCCCATATACTTTTTTGATTTCCTAATTTCCTATTTGACCAACTCTTCTTTGGTCCTGCAAATCTTCCAGCATTGCAGTGGATTCATATTTATAATGCTTTTCTTTGGTTTTATCTTATTATCTTGTCTGAGCCAACCTGGTTTTTATTTGCAACCATCCTTTTTGTCTATAAAGAATATGCCAATCTTAAATATTTAAGATTTATTTTTAAGACTCTTCCACATTTGATTATTATCTCCAATTAATTCATTTGCCCAATTCACAGCACATAATTCCTCTTTTATCTCTTCAAAATTTGCTTTTATTTGAAATCTGGAACCAAAACTTCATTATTCCTTATCTCCAGATACAGCAAAACCTCAAATATAATCGAGCAACGATCACTTGCTCCAAAATGTTCACCAGCCTCTACCCATCAACCATTTCTTTATTAGAAATTAACAATAAATCTAAAATAGCATTGTTCCCAGTAGGTTCCTTAACTAATTGTTAAAAAAAACCACCTCATTAACATCATCAGCTTCAACTGGTGGTCTGTAACACATACCAACTGAAAGCTAAAGAAATTCAACCTCACTGCTACTTACTTTTCCTCCCACTGTTTTCATAATTTCTTCCATTACTGTAATTCACGAATAGGTAAATATATCTAATCTATTAAATGCTTTCATTAATCTTGTTCTTATGATAGACAGAAAAATATTTTATTCCTCTAGAAACAATCCTAAGTGATTAGAAGAAATTTCAATCTTTCAAAAAGAAATTAACATATTAACAAATTAACATTGAATTTAAGCATAAAATACTTAAAATGTTCAACTGTATGAAACATGTCATCTATCAAAAGTATGTAGATATAGACTGCAAAAAATAGCAATCACATTAAACTTGCAAAATACTTCCTTTCACAATAACTATGAAAGAATACATACATTTCACATTTGTTTCCCTCGTATCCAATAGGACATTTTGTACAGATGTAATCTACTCTGCCTTGAGTATCTATAGTAGTTTCGCAAGGACACAAGTTGTTTCCAGAATTTTCGATGGGGCATGCACAAGGTTTGCAGTCATCAGGTAGGCCAATTTTTGCATTTCCATAGAAACCCTTCTTGCATCTTCCACATCTTCGGCCAGTAGTATTATGAATGCAAGTCTGATAAATAAATAAATCAATAAATTGTGACTATAAAAGAATCAATAAGATAAACCAACTGACAAGTGTGTTAATAAAGTGAGTGAAATATTTAAATAACTAAAGGTAGTTTTAAAATCCTCAGCATGGGAAACAACTCTATATTATAATTGGTAATATAATTATAAATAAACATGTTATATATTTTATTTATATACTGGTATTAATTAGGCAAGATAAGAGTCCAATTTATAGCTACAGTCATGTTACCATGGTAGTTTGTTGTTATAAAAAAAATGCCATTAAGTACTAGTTGGTTAACCCTCTATCTCAGTTGGTAGAGCACTTTCCTAGTCTTCCAAATGCCAAGATCAAAAATGTGATGTGGAAATTACTACAAGATCATGTGGAAATTACTACACTGTCATTTTTACCAAGATTACTGGTTATTTTATTACTTGAATACCACACATTTCCTATATATTGAACAAACAGAACACTACTGTTAAGTCTAGTAATTGTGAAGTATAATTATAACTGATAAATGACTGTTACCTCACATTGGCCTGTAACTGGATCACAACTTGGTGCATGATTATGACAATCACATTTCTCACAAGATCCTTTCAAGAAATGTTTATTAATACGCCGATAGCCAGGGCTGCAGACCTGGTAGAAAAACAAATAATGATTTCTACAGAAATGTTTAATGGTAGTTCCATAAAATTCCACAAAAAATAATACCGATATTGCTTGGTATAAATTTCAAAGGCTCTTTTGCACAAAATAATGATGTTACAAAGACAAGTTTCTATGACTTATCTATTTTAAGGAAGCATTTTCATACTATAAATCCATAAAAGCGGCAACAATGTATAATTGTGTACAAAATGTAACCCAAGTTAAGCTCATTCTGAAGTAAAGTGGCTCCCTCATGTGGACATATTTTGAGGAAGAACAATTATACATACTAATTACTTTACAATCAAGAAAATTTATATAACATTACTTATTTATTAGAAGGGGTTTACTAATTTTGTATAGTATATAATAAAATTAACGTTTTTAAGATTAAGTTTATATTAAACTTGTTACTAGATAAAAATCATTTCTTTTTCAAAAGTTAATACTATCACTGAATAACTTTTCTTTAAAAAGTTAAGTTTCCTGTGGATGAAATTGTTATCATTAATAGCATTATAGAAAATATAAGTCCTAAGAATATGACTTTATAATCTTTGATAAAATGCTGTAGAAAACACTTATTGATGTTTTAAATGAAATATTTACTTCAAAAAGTGTGTCTGTGGGTCTGTGTGACTACCATAACTCCAAGAGGGAAAAACCTAGAAACCTGAAATTTTACACACATACTAAGTGGACTGTGAGGGTGTACACCTGGGTATTATGACTTATCCATGTGTATGTGCACATCCTTTTAATGAGGCATGCTAGCAAAAAAAACCACATAGAAAAGAAGTGTGACCATCATAACTCCAAGGGGAAAGAACCTAGACACCTGAAATTTTACACCCATACTGAGGGTGTGCACCTGGGTATTATTTATCCACATGCATGAATGCTTGCACGTTTTTGATTAGGCAAGCTAGCAAAAAAATGTATACAAAAGAAGTGTTTTGGGGAAATAAAAACGTTTAAAGTATTTTAGACTATTCTTCTATGTTAAGATAGCTTCAGAATACACACACTGACATAGTCATCTAGAATATATCAACCTAATAACTGTTATCATAATAATAATATTGTTATGAGAGCAGAAGTCACATGACATTGGTAACACGTAATGAGTATCTAGAAGATTCGCAAAAAAATGCTAGTGTGTTACGACAGCGGAAGTCAAGTGATGCTGGTAGCACATGATGAGTGTCTAGAAGATTCTCGAAGAGGCTACGCGGGCGGTATTATCATATATATAAGTGCGCTAGACAAAGGAGACAAGGAGGGAGAGTGGAGAACCAAGGACAGCAGTTACGGTTGGTGGGAACCGAGGATAGCAGATACAGAGATCGGAACTATAGTTGCTGACAGGCGGATATAGAGATGGAAATTGAGTCAAGCATGGTAGTAAAGTGAGTGAATTGTTGTGAAAGTGTGTTTAAGTTAAAGTAACTGTGGAAATTAAGTGTATTGCAAAGTTGTATTGAGGAAGAATAAACTAATTTTATTTAAGAAAGGACTTGTATTGCAGAAAAATTAACAAACGAACATACATAGACGTAACAAATTGGTGTCAGAAGTGGGATAGAAAAGAGAAAAAAAAATGGAAACGAGAAGTGGCAAATCAAACTACAGCTTAGCAGTTTTGATAGCAGCAATACAAGAACAGCAAAAAAACAAGAAAAAAGAGAAA